AACTTTGGTAATAAATAGATTTCGTATTTATTTAGCATTATATTTTATTGAAACGCTCCAAGTGCCTGTGTGTATGCGGGCTATAGTACTAGAGCTATGAATAACCAAGCCCTTCTAATTACTAAATTTCATTTAAATTTCTTTCTAATCATCTAGCCTTGTATATCTAGCTTATAGACAGCCTAATCAACTTGGGAAATATGGGAAAGTCAGAATTAATGCCAGCAATACACACCCTATATTTGCCATATTCATAACAGACGAATTAACTCGCCCATTCATGCAAAATTTTATGCCTAAATCATGGGAGTTCACGAATTCTTCTAGAGGGATGGCAGGGGTCAGTGAAGGGTTAATCCTAGATTATATTATATTATTTGTATTCATGATATTATTGCAGATGATGAACAACTATTTTACATTCTCGGCTACGTTCACCGATCTACTGTTTAAAGGCTTCAACGCAAACACTACTGGTGGTAAGAAAACTACTTATGATTAATATATTATGCAAAGAGCATACCACTTAACTAAATTTGATGTATCTCGTGACTATATGGAGATATCCTTTTTCTCACTGCATGACATTACTTTGTATAAGGGGTGAATGTTTCTTGGTAATCTTATTCAAATTCAAATACATTGAAAAATATATATCCAATATCTACTAATTGCCTCAATACAAAGTACTATCACCGGTGAATATGTGATGTGCACTTCATTACAATTTACACGCAGTATCTGATTTCCAGTGATGCCAAAATAATTTCTGATGTACACATCGATGTCGTCCCGATACTAAACTCGGCACACGCGATCGCACTTAAATTTGATAACTTGATAATTATTTTTATTTGGTAAATGTGCATATTGACATCAAACCGATACTAAACTCCATCTCGATCCACCGCGGTGAAAATAACAATTTTTGATTACGATGGCCAACCATACATATCTACGTCAACTCGATACTAAACCCGGCACGCGCGATCGCGCTTAGATTTGTCCGATCGACTCTGGAATTCGCTCGCCTTGCAGGATTCGTGGCGACGGCGGTCGGCGTCGCCTGCCTGGCCATCCTACATGAGGCGCTGAAGTCCTACCGGAGCGTGCTGCTTCTCCGCGCGGATGAGGCGACTCCAGCGAGGGCAGGAGGCAAGCGCGGGAAGCGACCCGCAGACGAACACACGCCACTCATCCGATCCGTGCTCGCGTCGCAGCGACGCGAGACACACTCGTGGAGAGCGAGGTACGGTGTGCGCGCGCGCAGTCGTGCGCCGGGCATATATGGCTGCACTCGTTTTTAGCTCACCTTGACATCGTAAGTTAACATCTTGACATCTTGACTTAGTTCTCCCATATATACTCTTGTTTTATATAATGTAGGTGGATAGTTGCTGAATTACAAATGACTTGTTGGCACTCGCTCATTTGTGTACTTTTTTGTGGTGAGCCATAGTGTCACTGACACTTTAATTTGTGATTTTTTTTACTCTGCGAATTCCTCGTGTTTATCCTTTTAAGTTCTATCTTACTAAATCAGCATTGATTAGTGTGTGAAGTAGTGTGTAAGTTTCCACATGATGGACAATATATATTTGCAAGCTATATGCGATTAATCTATGCAAAGTTCAAGAGACATTGAATGATATAGGTGTAATAGGCCAAATATCTACTGAATTCCCTCAATACAAAGATGACTATCACCGGTGAGATTAGGGTGAGAGGGTGGCACCCTCTTCATGTACAATTTACATGCAGGTATAACCTTGATTTGCAGTGATGCGCAAAATAGATAGGCGCTGATGTACACCATCGACCCGTCGGTCGCGTATACTAGAAGTCGGCGACATGCGATCGGTACTTCTTAAAGTTTGATGAACTTGATAATTATTTTATTTGGTAAATGTGCAATGGCGACTCAAATGAACCATAGCTGAAACTACGATCTGCGATGTCCATCCGCGGGGTGAGAAAAACAATTTTTGATTACGATGGCCAATACCATACATTTCTACGTTCAACTCGATACTAAACCCGGCACGCGCGATCGCGCCTTAGATTGTCCGATGGATGCTGTGAATTCGTGCCCCCTGCGCCCCCCCAGGCCTTGGCAGGATTCGTGGCTCAACGGCGGTCCCGGCGTCGCCTAGCCTGGCCATCCTACATGAGGCTCTGAAGTCCTACCGCAGCGTGTCTGCTCATCCGCGCGGTGACATGAGGCCGACTCCAGCGAGGGCGGGAGGCAAGCGCGGGAAGCGACCCGCGACGAACCACACGCCACTCATCCGCATCCGTGCTCGCGTCGCAGCCGACGCAAGACACACTCGTGCGAGAGCGAGGTACGGTGTACGCGCGCGCAAGTCATGCCGCCGGGCATATTATTATGGCTGCACTCGTTTTAGTCGCCTATCAGTCGTAAGTTAAACATCTTGACATCTTGACATTAGTTTCCCGATATATACTCTTGTTTTATATATGTAGGTGGATAGTTGCTGAATTAAAATGACTTGTTGGCACTCACTCATGTTGTGTACGTTTTTGTGGTGAGCCATAGTGTCATTGACACTTTCATTTGGATTTTTTTTACTCTGCGAATTCCTGCGTGTTATCCTTTTAAGTTCTACCTTACTAAATCAGCATTGATTAGTGTGTGAAGTAGTGTGTAAGTTTCCACATGATGGACAATATATATTTGCAAGCTATATGCGATTATATGGTTATATATTATCATAGATCCTAGGTCAGTGTGGCCCCCTTGCATTTATGCTCCTTCTTGTTCTTCGTTTTTAGCTCATCTGACATAGTCAAACGGCTCGACGTACGGATTCGAAAGTCGGGACGTAGGGGTAATCCGAAAACGAGTTGGGATGTCGAAGCTGGGGCGTCAAAGGTCAAAGGTCAAGAGGTGCTAAAAGAAGGGGCATACATTCCCTACTTAACTTAGTCTTAGGTATAGGGAGAAAATGCTAGAATGCCGGCCACAAATCTAACCACGACGCGACCTTATTGCTGCTTAATATTTGGTGTATAGTGTGTGATGGGCCAGGAAACCTTCCACCAGGTGCGAAATTGGAGGTCACAGGTCAAAGGGCAGCTGGGGGAAAGATCAGATATCAGACATTTTCTGAGGACATGGCCTAACGGACAGAGTGAAAAACTTTTTTGTTTTCAGCCGCTTGACCTACCATTTTTATCACTTTATTGAAAGGACCATGAAATGTGCTTTCCACGACGTGACGAAGAGTGTCTGATAACCTTGACCTTCAAGAGGGGGCTCTTAAACATGGATTCCTGAACTGCCTCAATGATGTCACAGTGTTCTCATATTCATGGCCACATCCATAATCTAGAAAGCCAAATAAGCCTGCATAGCCCAACGGGTAACAGTAACCGCAGAGGATTACGGCTCAAAGGTCCTTGGATCAAATCCCATCAGATTTTTTATTATTTACCTGTTTTCTGTATTTTTCTGTCTTATATCCATTTAACTATTTTTTTCCAATTAACGCAAATATTTACATGATTATTTACAACAATTTAATAAACAACAAATAATTTTTACAAATAAAATTTTTTTTTAATAGGTTAGGGTTAGGGTCACAATGCACCATAAAACAGGAGTTTCAGGTACGCGATTTGTATCAACCAATGGAATTTGGGAGGTATGCAGAATGCAGGTTGCTGAAATGATGTGTACGCAACTGCTGTATCTGCATATCTGCGCCTAACAAATGTGTCAATACGCACGACTGAAATTTTACGTTTCATAACCGTAGCAACACACGTCATAAGAGCCAGTCGCTCTGCGGCTCTTGTTTGCCGTATTTAGTTACTTGCATGCTAAACGTAATTATGATGGGTATATATAATATAATCATAGATCGGGCGGCGCCCGCGTCGCGTTTACGCTCGTTCTCGTTCTCTCTTGGTTTTCCCCGCAGGTTGAGCTACCACCTGCTGCACGCGCCCTGCAGCTAGCGCTACAGCTGCAGCAGGGGCGTAGCTACGGGGGGGGGGGCACGTGCCCTCCACAAATTTTTCGGTGCCCCCCCCCAGGTGCCCCCCCACACTAAAAATTCATGCTTGATAAAAAAAAATTGAATTAAAAACAATGCGTTAGAACAGTATAATACAAAGAAAGAGGGTTCGAACCACATCTCAGTAAAATTATATATTGTGCCCCCCCACGAAAATGTAAGGCCCCCCCCAGTGCCCCCCCCGGGTACTGAAGAAAATCTACCTTACGCACTGAGCGGCAGCCGAGGTAATGCACGCGCGTGCCAGATCGGCACCGTATCATATCATGTTGCGTTTACGCCCTTAATTCTTTTTCACAGTCTGGAAAAATAAGCTGCTTGACTCAAAAATTTTAACCGGGAGCTATTTTGAGCCTCACGAGAGCTATTTCGAGTTTGAAGAGCGAATCGCTCATCGCTCCCGTGTATTTTTACCCTGCCCCGCAGGTTGGGCGTCCACCTGCTGCAGACGTTGCTGCACGCGCTGCAGCTGACGGATCGCCTACCTACTCATGCTCATCGTCATGTCGTACGACGCCTGGTCCTCGTCGCCGCCCCGCGGTCGGCCGCCCCGCGCGATACCCGCGTTCGGACACGCCACCGCCCACGCTCGGTCGCGCAGACGGATCGT